TCCTGGAGCGATATCTATACACCAGAGAAAGAGGGAGAGAGAGAGGAGAGAGAGAGAGAGAGAGAGATATATATATATATATATATATATATATATATATATATATTATATATTATATACCAGATAATCTTAACTGCATCAATGTGAAAAGGGTTTTGTTTGAATTTCAGGCCTTTCTCAAGCTCTTCGCGCATTTTCGTCACCGCCGCATCTTTGTTTTTATCGCGCATTTTGTTAAATCAAACATTAAGCCATACACATGGAACTATTCGTAACACATAACTGACATGACGTGACGTGGTTTCCGAGTTGTCGGCGGCCAATCAACAGAAGTTTACCATGTATTACATGAGGCCTTACAGCTGGATTGAATCTGCGTGCAGCCCTGTAAAGAAGTTCGCGAGTGGGATGGCACAAACTTGGAATCAAATCCGCCCCATTTGTGATGATAGTCTTAGCTTGGATGGATGACAATATCTGTGTCCTTGTTTCCATTGGAAAACCCGTGAACGTGCGCCTTTGCCCTTGGTACACCATTACAACGATGACACCCTGACTGATCACACAGAGCACCTCAAAACGGTGGCATAGAATTTTCGGCGTACAGTCGACACGGTTAGTAAATGGAACATAATTTTTACCAAGGGCGCATGCGCCATACAACGCATCGAGCAGCAGATGTGCCCATCAAATCATCGTTACCCGACGTGCAGCCTCTGCCCTGGGTTGCTCGAGATCCGGCGCCTCTTCCGCTGTTGGCGGCCGCTTGTCTGCGTCGATCTCGATACCAGCATGGCCGATCGTGTCATCACCACTGATCGAGCAGCCCCCCCCCCCCCTCCCTCCCCTCGCCTGCCCGGCGGCGCCGAGGGGAGCGGAGGGGGGGGGGGGGGACGTTCCAGCTCGGTGGCCGGGCATGGACAGATGCCAGTTCGGCGCAGCGCGAGAGGGACATGGCATCGCCGCGGGTGGTGGCGCTCCTGTTCTGCCTGGCCGTCTGTCTCCGTAAGTAACGCTGACCGGTCCCGCTGTGGCGTCAGCTCTTCTCTGGGTAAGAGCGGCTGGTGGCCCTCTGTCTCCGTAAATAACGCTGAGCGGTCCCGCTGTGGCGTCAGCTCTTCTCTGGGTAAGAGCGGTTGGTAGCCGTCTGTCTCCGTAAGTAACGCTGAGCGGTCACGCTGTGGCGTCAGCTCTCCTCCAGGTGAGGGCGGGTGGTGGCCGTCTATCTCCGTAAGTAACGCTGAGCGGTCCCGATGTGGCGTCAGCTCTTCTCTGGGTGAGAGCGGCTGGTGGCCCTCTGTCTCCGTAAATAACGCTGAGCGGTCCCGCTGTGGCGTCAGCTCTTCTCTGGGTGAGAGCGGCTGGTGGCCCTCTGTCTCCGTAAATAACGCTGAGCGGTCCCGCTGTGGCGTCAGCTCTTCTCTGGGTGAGAGCGGCTGGTGGCCCTCTGTCTCCGTAAATAACGCTGAGCGGTCCCGCTGTGGCGTCAGCTCTTCTCTGGGTAAGAGCGGTTGGTAGCCGTCTGTCTCCGTAAGTAACGCTGAGCGGTCCCGCTGTGGCGTCAGCTCTTCGCTGGGTGAGAGCGGCTGGTGGCCCTCTGTCTCCGTAAATAACGCTGAGCGGTCCCGCTGTGGCGTCAGCTCTTCTCTGGGTGAGAGCGGCTGGTGGCCCTCTGTCTCCGTAAATAACGCTGAGCGGTCCCGCTGTGGCGTCAGCTCTTCTCTGGGTGAGAGCGGCTGGTGGCCCTCTGTCTCCGTAAATAACGCTGAGCGGTCCCGCTGTGGCGTCAGCTCTTCTCTGGGTGAGAGCGGCTGGTGGCCCTCTGTCTCCGTAAATAACGCTGAGCGGTCCCGCTGTGGCGTCAGCTCTTCTCTGGGTAAGAGCGGTTGGTAGCCGTCTGTCTCTGTAAATAACGCTGAGCGGTCCCGCTGTGGCGTCAGCTCTTCTCTGGGTGAGAGCGGCTGGTGGCCCTCTGTCTCCGTAAATAACGCTGAGCGGTCCCGCTGTGGCGTCAGCTCTTCTCTGGGTGAGAGCAGCTGGTGGCCGTCTGTCTCCGTAAGTAACGCTGAGCGGTCCCGCTGTGGCGTCAGCTCTCCTGTAGGTGAGAGCGGCTGGTAGCCCTCTGTCTCCGTAAGTAACGCTGAGCGGTCACGCTGTGGCGTCAGCTCTCCTCCAGGTGAGGGCGGGTGGTGGCCGTCTATCTCCGTAAGTAACGCTGAGCGGTCACGCTGTGGCGTCATCTCTTCTCCGGGTGAGAGCGGGCGGTGGCCGTCCGTCTCCGTAAGTAACGCTGAGCGGTCCCGCTGTGGCGTCAGCTCTTCTCTGGGTTGAGAGCGCGCGGTGGACGCGGGCAGGCAAGGCTGGCTTGGTGCATGCCTCGTGTTCAATGACAGCTGTTTGCAGCTAGTGGATGCCGTGCCGTCGCCAGGGATCTCGCGTTCGGCGCGTTTGGATATACAGCAGCGGGTTGCGGAAGTGAATGTTGTTGTGGCAGAGGGAGGCGGATGCGGGTGCACCGGCACCGTGGCGTGTCTTCGTGTTGCGGCCCAGCCTGCATGGGTATGTGTGCAGGATCAGTTGAGTCCGGAAAAAAGGCGTTACAAATGCAGGGGTAGGTAAACATGTGGCACGATTCCTTCTTGTATAGGTGGAGTGTGGCTGCACCCAAGTGACGCTATCTGCTATTGTAACGATGCATTGGCGAATTGTGCATAATTCTACTTGAAGGTGTTAGGTCATGGGATACCTTAAAACAGGTATGAGCTGTAAAATACCAGCACTGTTTCCGCCTCCAATATAAATGTTATCGAACGTTCCTAACTCGGCGTCACGAACGTGTCTATTCCTTAAAAGGAGCGTTCTGCATTTGGCGCTTATTTAAAAAAAAAACATACTCTAGTGAAACCTCAGAACTAGTTACATCTAATAACAGCACTGGCTAGTGCCGCTGCAGCACCGTTAAGATATAAAAAAGGTATCAGTTTTAATTACTTTCTAGCCTGAATCTCGTCAACGCTTTGTAACAATATGCTTCTTCCCTGCAGCCGCCACCACCATCATGACAACCGCCGTGGCACCTCCATTGGTGCGAATAAAAGGGCGTTTGTGATTGGTCCAGCGGACAAGGCCTGTTACCGAGAAGTTGGCTAGCTCAAGTTTGAACCAGTGCATCACATGGATACATGATGCAACATGGATCATGTTGTTATAGGGTTTTATATGGATCATGTGATACTTCCATGCTCAGAGCCAAAGTGTGTCTCGAAAAGAGCGACTGAGGCAAATTCCATAGGGGAGAAATCAAAGCCATATCATAACGCTTCGTCGAATTCTCTGGATAAAAGCTTCATGTCTGCATATGACTTTGTCCAAACAGAATGTTTCAAGCTTTCGTAGTATGCAGTACACAAATATTTTGACATATTAATATGTTGTAAACATTACAGGACACACGTTGGAAGAAGCAAGGCAAATTAAACGTATTATTTTTGCAATGGTGAGCAGGGAGTCGAATGAGATTTCTGCCGCCGGGTCGGCTATTTCGAATCGAAATTCTGAGGTACTCAAAAGAAGTTCGAGAAAATTAGTATTTCTGATCAAATCGTACACGTCCGATATAGAAAGTGAAATAGTCAATAAGCGAATTACACTGAATAAGTGAAAGTACAAAAAAGGTGGGATACTCGCTTTAATCTCCTGGCCACAGCTGAGGGGTGTAAATGGATGCGGGTGCGGCAATGGGTGCGTTGTTACGGGTGCTCGCGGGTGCGCCGCAGCTGCGGCAGATTGGGCAGCCGCCCACGCTGTCATCAACCGGGTGGGCGACGGTGTCGTTCTGTCCACCTGGCATTTTGGGAATCCCTCAATAGCAATGACAGGTCTAGTGTCCATCAACAGCAGCAATGATGCGACCAGGAGCTCCGGCAATGACAATCAATGTAGTGTAATTGTTGAGATAGGGTCCCACTCACAAAATGGTCGGGTGTAGTCGGCAGTGATCGCACTGCAGGGACCGCTGTCAGGAATGACAGCAAGCATCAGAATGTCAGGACCCTGAGTGGCTCAGAGCCAACATTCGGCGGCAGCCCCAGGTCATGAGTCTGACACGGACGACGGACGTCAAGCGTCGTGAGCTCAGTCTGGTCAGCTGCAGACGGCTTAGTCTGACGGGCAGGCTGGGTCATCTCAAGGCACTGTGCTTCTCGACTCAGAGGAAGTCTTGTGCGAAGTTCTTGTAATAAGACTGTGTGTGGTGGTGAGCCCAGACATTGAAGACACGCTTCCTTGGCGACAGCTCTTACCCTGTGCTAGACGTAGTATGTTTTGAAAAACTTTATCAGAATCTTCTGAAAAGATGGATTTTTAGGACCAGAGACCATGCTTAGCTGTGTTTGTCAGTCCTGATCCCGCCATTTAATCGTGAAATTCCAGACCAGCGGTAGAACTTTGCGACGAAAGTTCCACGTGCCGTACTGCTCGGCGCGGTTCATCCCGTCGTCTGACGTCATCGGACCTTTGGCGCGAGCGCTGCCACCGACAGCAGGCCACCCCAGTTAGCGGCAAATAGCGAGCGCTTGAAGCAGCTTGAACCGGGGTCTCCGATTATGTCCAATGTCCTACATCCGCCCTTGCTTTTATGCTGCCTCGCGTGTTAATCATGCGTTAGAGAAATGCCTGATTGTGGCACTGTTCGACGATGACTGCGTGCGTGTTGGTCCTTATAATTGGCTGTTGGTACTGTTCCGATTGTGCTCAAAGACATTGCGGAGAAAGTCTGTTCTGTTTTGGTGTGATCTGAGAATAAGTCGCGAAACTTGCTTATTTTCATCTCTGGCATGCACATCGGTGGATGTCCAGGATCTTGTCACTCAGGATTGTCGGCTCCCTGGAATTTGTGCGCCCCCTGTTGTGAGCCGTACTTTAAATGCATTCGGATTTTGGCCATCCTAAATTTCCGATTCTAGTGTTTGGCATTTTTCTGAACACGTGACACAGGGGGTTTCCCCTAGAACCGTTTGTTTCAAATGTTTCGCTAAAAGCACAAATGGTATGTACTTAAAATAAAAACCTGTTGGAAAGTAGGGCATTCTCATTTTCTGGTCAAGAAAAACTGCAGTAAATATTGGTCAAATACCAGATTTGTCCGGAATTTATGAATACCATTGTTTCTGTTGCCTTGATACCTGTTGGCCCTCAGCCCATCCAGAATCCCCCAGAATCCCGAATGCAACCCGCAGCCGGAGTGAAGATTCATCCGTTTCGACTGTGCAGAAGACCTGGAGTGGGATTTGAAATACTGCTGAACGACCCTGCAGCACGCCGTAACGCCCGAAATTGCTGTCGGTCATCACCAAAAAAGCTGCGGAGGTGATCGGCTTTTAATCGACTACTAACCAAGTCATAGTGACGGATGGCTAAGCTCGACCTTAGGTCAACCGCGGTGGGCAGCCTCCTCTCGGTGTCGAGCTGTTCGCGCGCAGGCGTTTGTTGAGTCCTTTTCGAAGGTCAGGAAGCCCATCTCACTGGCAGCAATAATACGATCCTTTGGCGACACGGTTACCAGGGGTGTCCTTTCTTAAGTCGTTTGGAGCTCACCCGACAGGGCTGATCTAACCTGCCCAAAAGCCTCATTTCTCCTGGATTTCGGTCATTTTAACTTGTGTCCCGGAGTTTCCAAGAAATATCGCTTTTTTTGTCTGTTCAAAAATCCTTTTGCTGCGGAGGAAGCGATGCGTTGCATTTTGTGACTATTTTCCCATTCCATTGCATTGCACTTGCACCTGCACTTGCATGTCGAAGGCATACTGTTTACCCCGAGTGTGCTTGTATCCTTTCGAGAAATGGATTGCTAACGTAATGAAGCTTACCTTCAGGAGAATACAAAGCAAGCTTCCGCAAGTTTACCCTTAAGTTGACAGCGTTGCTGGCTGTTTTGTATGTTGAAAAAGGGAACGTAGCGGATGTCGTTACGCTCGTTTTATAGAGTGTCAACGACTGCATTGGCC